GTATTAGTATTAGTATTAGTGTTAGTAGTAGTTAGTAAGTTTCCAAATTCTCAAAAAGACTGGAATCAAGCCAGCAGTCTGTCCCTTTTCTGTTTGTCTAGATAGTTTAAAATAGCCCATGTTTTTAGTAGTGGTCAATCTTCTAGATTAAGAGGAATTGTCCATTATTATGAGAGATATGCACTAGTTATCAGGAATGTTTTCAGTGGTACTACTAGTACTAAAGACATAGCTAGCAGGTGCCAAAAAATCATGAGAGATATACAGTTATCAGGAATGTTTTCAGTGGTAGTACTAAAGACATAGCAGGCAGTGAAAGTACATATTTGTCCCTCCTCTTTTTAGGAATGTGGAATCCTATTTTAGCGTGGATTTGCCGGTGACAAGATTCTTTATGGGACCAACAAGTGATGGGAACAAGATTCATCCAGAATTTCATGAAACCACTGCTGCTAGTAGTATCAATTACGAATCTCCCTCCAAAACTATTAGATCATACTACTCCAAAAACATCTCCATCCTCATTACTATTTGTCTACTGATTTCCCAATCTCAGCAAAATGCTTCCTGAGTTCATTTTAATTGCATGGGTACTAGCTTCTCTTGTTGAAGAGGAGGAGGAGGAGGAGGAGGAGGAGAACAAGATAATAGAACATAGACTCACTCCAGAAGAAAGGTGTCAGAGGGACAGGAGGACGTGCCACAGATTGCACTCTTGAGATTGAACAAATCACCATTCATTCATTTGTTGTTTGGTTCTGGTGACAATCAGGCTCATAAAAATTGCTGCAATGAGGACCATACTAGAGTCTGTAGGTACCTGTTTTCTTGGTTCCAGTCAGTATTTGATAGATATACTATGGGCAAAGTCACTGAGCAGAGCAGACCTTGACTCCTTTTCCTCAAGGACAAAAAGAGGGAGGTTACTGCAACTATTGGAATGGCATTGGTCATGACTTGGTATAGAATGCAAGTACTAGTATCAGCAGCTAATACTAGGACCTAGTCTATGGTGTTTGGAATCACMTCCACTCCCTTCTACAGATGGTTGAAATTTTCCAGATGAGTCATTCTTTTTGTGTTGCAAAATAATCTGAAGGCAATTATTAGACCCCCTTGTGACAAGGAAGTCAAGGCATATGTGGCTTAGGATCCCTGCCAGTAGGAATTGGTTTCCTGTGGAGGGAGAAGTATTTCCTGGTGATGGGTTTGTTCTCTCTTCTTGGACCATGAGGTCAGTTTTCTGCTGCATGCTGGCATTGAACAACTAGTTTTCATTGATCTGATCGTCCAATAGTAGGAAGGATCTCCCTTTGGAGTTTCAGCATACACAAGTCCTCCCTCCTCTTTCTTGTACAGTTGGACCTGGCACAGTTGCTGAAGTTGAAGGACCTTGAGCCATGGTGGATACAGAGGAACAGGAGGAGGAGTCTTCAGTTAAACTCCTTTTTCATGATTGATGCTTATCGTCATGATGTAGTACAAACTTTGTCCTCCTTCTGCTCCTGGCTTGCCTCCTCTCTCAACAAGCTCCAACCATTGAATACTGTAATAATGCAAAAAAGTCATAGGGGTATTGAARGCATGAAGGTGCAAACAAATAGTTTTTGAAGGATGCAGCTGCTGACGATACAAGAAGTTGCTCATAGTAGTAGTAGTAGTAGGGGGATGCTGATATGAGGAGTTGCTGATACTACAGAGGAGCTGCTGATGGGGCATCTGCTGAAATAGAGGATGCTCCCTGATGATATGGAGGATGCTTGCTGATACAGAGAACACTAATACAAGGGTTCACTGATGTGGAGGAGTTGCGCATATGAGTCACTGATACAGAGGAGGACGAGGAGGAGCTGGTGCTGGTGGCCTGCTGATATGGAGGACGCTTGCTGATACAGAGAAGGCTGATACAAATCACTGATACAGAGGAGTTTCTGATATGAAGGAGTTGCCARTATCAAGGATGCTGATACAGAGGAATTGGTGATGCAGAGAGTGCCGATATGGAGGAGCATGTGATACTAGTACAAGCTGCTGATACTTGCATTTCGTCTTCATACCACTACTATGTACCGTACGGTAGTACCCGTACCCGTTGTGGAAGTGCGTATCTACCACCGGTACGAATTACGAATCCAGCAACAATTGATCGCCCCATTAATAAAAATTATGCCATCATTAATTTTTCCAGTACAAATTCTACAGAGCTCTACTGATAGGATTGCAACAAGATTTCCCCATCGAGGGGACTTGTACCTTRTTTATTTCCTATGGTTATGCGGCTCTCCATCAAGACCGGCAACGAGCGCATCACAACATAGCACAAACACCGCAACCGTGTCGAGGAATATAACATGAACATCCGAATTCCGATTCGGCTGCCTTGCAACTTTCTTCTACTTCTTTTGGCAAAACAAAGACCATCGTCGGCCTTTACGTTCCAAAACAGCAATCACTCCGCCACTACGAATTTTGTCGGCATTAACAACGCGGAAAAGCCATTTTTTCAGAACACAAACCAAATTATTAGCAGGAACAGTAGTAGCAGAAGATTCTCATCCGATAGTAGCATGTCATCATCGTCGTCGTCTCCGCCACAGTGCGGGGTGGACTACCCCGAACTGGTCGTCTTCGATCTGGATGCGTGTTTTTGGGACCAAGAAATGTACGAAATGCCCGCCCTCCCGTCCAAAACCGTGTCAGGAATCCTTGGCGATTCGGGACAGGAAGGAGTAACTGGAGCCTACTCGGGCCGGAACAAGATCTCCATGCACCCCGGAAGCATGGTGGCCCTCCAGGAACACGCCAGGGGAGATGTTTATCCCGGAATGAAGGTGTGTTTTGCCTCGTCGGCCGACACCCCCTTTGCCGAGAAAATCGGCCGGGCTACCCTGAAATTGCTCGAGGTTCTTCCCGGGCTGACGGTGTGGGATCTAGTGCTTAAAGATTGGGACGGCAAAGACGTCAACCAGGTGCGTAGCAGAAACTGAAGCTTCGCGCTTTACGCCAGAAAAACGACAATGATAGGCGTCAATGGCACACAACTAGTAGCCCCCCAAGGGGATGGCTAGTGTCGTGGACCAGAGACGGAGAGAAAATAGCGGAGCAGGAACAAGCATCCTGTTTGTCACAGAGACTAAGCATGGTCGTATGCTCACCATTTTCCACACTTGTGCGGTTATGTTCTTGTACTTGCGAAACATGGTTACGAACCAATGCACTGATTGCTTCGACGCAAACAAACCATGAAACAAACTACGAACCGGCCGATAAAATCGTTTTGATGTAGCAGATCGGACGGCAGCCACCATTGAGCAGGTATGTACGGGTACCATGAGCAATTCATTTGCACTTTTGCTAATTTAATTCCACTCCAACTCGTGAACTTATTTCTGAGAGAAAGTGAAAGGAAGTCATCCCACCAACCCATCTTTTGCATTTGTTCCTATACTTTTCACATATTTTGATCTGGAAACATATCATTGTCGTTCATCCCATTCCCCCATGTGCGTTCTCTTCTTGCACCCAATGATATCGGCGTGATCTGCCGCACCGCAATGATATCGAAATAACCAACAAACGTCTAATACTACTGTTACAACGCAAAGCAACAAGGCCCAGACACATTTCCCCTTCATTCGAAAACTCACGGGCATTCCCTATGACAAGATGCTCTTTTTTGACGATTGCAACTGGGGCGATCACGTGGGCATGGTTGGTCGTGGTTGTACAGAGGAGAGCACCAGCAGAGGAGTTGTCGGCCACCGGACACCCAGTGGACTCACGATCAAGGATTGGTACAGGGGGCTGGAGCTCTATCGCGAGGCACAACAGCAGTAGTGAAATGAAGTCCAGAAAATAAATTGCATTGTGACTCGATCGAATACACTCGGCGCTCTGGTGAAGTGATCATACTGTACATATTGAGGTACTTGGCACATCCCAATCACCATACGGAAAAAGTAGAAAGAGTGCGGCAGTTCAATTCATATAGTATATGCTAGTATTGTTTTTCCATCGTAACTGGTGTTCTAATCGCCAGGGATAGTGCCGCACTTGAATGTATTATTTGCGTGTTGCTTTCACACAGGACACGTTAGGAAAGTGACCAATTCATTATATTTTGTGTGAGGAGAGCAACTAAGTCCACTTTCGAAACGCAGCTTTCCATTACCACTAGAAAATTTGTTTTGAAGAAGTATATAAAATTCAGCAGGTTGATTGTTTTGATAATAATACTGTGGCAGTTCTTCAGAGTTGCAGGATCAACATCTTTTTGACTCTGTTTCTCATCTCACAGTCAAAATGACGATGTACATAGGTTAGTACTCCTACCAGTATCTAATGGTACATGAGCTTGTTCCAGACACAGTATTGCGCCTGACATTATTGCGCTTGACATCAGGAGTTGTATCACTACGAAAGAAACTACGCTACGGTACGATGCTGGATTAAACGAGTAGTACGTACCGTACCTGGTACAAGTAGGTRCGAGTGTAACAACAAGTACGTACTCGTACGTACTTTTACTTGATTTCTGATTTCTTGTTTTCTGCAACGGTACGGAAAGCGACGTGCAACGACGTACATAGCGTAAGTACTTACGCAATTCTGTACGTATAGTTTTCGGTGGTCCACATCATAAAAAATACTTCTACTACTGCACTAGGAAAGTACGAAGTACTTCTACTTATCAAATGTCATCACACACCATCGCAAAATGCACCATCACAAAGACTTCGAGGAACTATTTCCGGAAAATATCTGAACGAACAATCCATCAAGCTGGAACTAGATAATTGACAATGGCGACAATAAGGACGACCGATTTCTACTTAAAATTTGCCATCTCATTCTTGGGAATAATCTTCCTTCGGCATGAGGGACATTCATCGACCGCCGTTGACGCCTTTGTTGCTCTCGGCCGCCATTCCAATGGGCATACAAATAGAAGCCCAAATACTAATCTGTTTGCGGCTTTGCCTACAGGATATCGAGAGTTTGGTGAAAATGCCATTTTCCAAGCCGCTAAAGAGTGCGGAATGAACTTTGATGAAGAAAATGGAAATCGATTGGAAATTGAGTGGAAAGCCGGAACCATCATTGTATCAGTGCACGGGGAAGTCTCGCTGCGGGAGGTATCCGAAGATGGCGAATATGCGGACGAAGAGGGGACGCCTTGTGAAGATGAGGAAGAAGAAATTGTAGATACCAACAACGAAATGGACGAAAAATTCTCGCTGACTCTCTTGGCCCGGACGATCAACCGAATCCTTGACGACGACGGAACGGGTCTGTTGATTGCCGAGGCCCACTCGATCGAGGTCACCACGCCGGGGGTCTCCGACGTGCTGGTGCCTGGAACACCCCAATTCGAAGCGTTCATGGGATTCGAAGTCATTGTCGAGTTCATGGATTCTAAGAAAAAGAAGGTAAAAACCATCGAGGGTCGCTTGTACGACTACAACGACGATCAAACCGTAATCAACATAAAGGGTCGCATGAAAAAACTGAAAAACGAGGCCGTCATGTCAGTTCGATTGCCTAAGGCGAAGAAAGAAAAAGGAGTCCGGTAGACATATTATCATTTGAAGAAAATAATGTTTATGCGCTAGAAGGTGAAGCTGCCAAAGTTCAATCCATTAAAATTGCCAATAGAACGAAAATACGGTTCGAAGTTTACAAACGAAGAAAGCAGGTGTGTCATGCTGATTTAATGTAGCATGGTACAGCTTAGTTGACGGTCGTAGATGTAACAAATAATTTACAGAACAAAAATTATGAATTGTAAGACAGTGGTATCCCCTTGTAAGCAGCGAGTCGTACTTCGCGTTCGTGCAACAATAGCTAACTCTGCTATCTTCTCGACCGTTCTCGAGGAGACGTTCTCTTCCTATTACTTCTCACATTTCCTGTGTAGTCGATACTACTTGAGGAATGCGAGCGTCGACTATGGCGGCTGCTCGAGTTGATGTTTCTCGGTGACCTCCTTCCATCGGGATCCATTCCATTGTCGCTGATTGAGTCGATTCTACCGCTCATGTTGTGTCGACTAATACTGCGACTGCGTTCGCTACGGTTCCGACTTTGACTGCGGCTGCCATTACGACTGCTAGTATTGCGGGTACGGCTACTACCTCTGGATTTCCTCGTCGACGACGATTCCGCCCTCGAAGATCTCGAGCGCCTACTGTTGCTATTCCTGTTACTTCTTGAAGAGGAAGAAGGTCTTTGCTTGGACGAGCCGCGATAGGAATTTTTATAAAAGCCTCCCTCAAAGCTGCTGATGTCGTCTTCGTCACTATACTTCGGATTAACGATGCGAACAGGTGGTGGAACGGTCAATCCCCCCGTCACCGTGCTATTCTGACCAAATTGCTGCTGGCCGATGGTCACCAAGTCGTTGTAATCATTGTTGCTCAGAGTATTCATTTCGGTATGACTCTGTTGAGGATCAATTTCATGAAATCCGTAACCGTTACCACGCACAGACTGGTCAATTCCATATACTGAAGCCTGTTGTTGCTGTTGTTGCATCATCAGCATGTTTCCCATATCCATGGGATTTTGAACCTCTCCGCCACCAACCATTCCGTATTGATTCTGTTGCAGGTTTTGTTGCTGAAGTATCGTCGTGTGTTCCATACCTATTGGGTGATCCATCTGCATCAGATCTTGTTGTTGCTGCTGTTGCTGCATTAGATCTAGATCTAGATCCTGCTGCTGTTGCTGCATAATCTCTTGTTGCTGAACCTCGTTGAGGTATATTTGTTGCTGCAAAGCCTGGCGTTGTTGAACAAGGCCCTGAAGTCCATAGGTTGATCTCTGTGCCTCCAGTTGAGCAATGTTTTGGGACACTAGAGCTTGTTCGTGCTGGAGCTTTTTCATGGAAACTATCAGCGTCTGCAACATTTGCTGCTGCTCTAGCTGTCGCTGTTGTCGTTGCTGCTGCTGCTGCTGGTGTTGCTGTTGTTGTTGCTGCTGCTGCAGGTTATGCTGTTGCTGTGATTTAGACTCGGATCGCTCCTCTTCCATAACAGCAAGCTTCTCGGCCATCTTCTCCTTTTCGCGCTTGAGCTTCCTCATGCTCCTGGACATCTTCATCTTTTCCTTCTCGGTCTGCTCTATCTCGCTCACCGCTTTCTTCTCGATTTTCTTAGCCTTTTGCTTCGCCTTTATGAGACGGGCAGCTGTTTCCTTGTGGACACCCTTGAGACTGGAAAGCTTGCTAGTCTTCATGCGGCTCTCGAAGCGGGCCAGCTTTGCGGCGCGTTTGGCGGAAAGGAGGAGTGCCTGTTCGTCCTCGAAGATATCACGGCTGTTCCTAAGGCCATGGTAATCGTACTCGCTGTAAATCAYCGGCCTTATTATCGGCATGGTTTGAACCGGTTGGGCGTATGATGGTGGTGGCATTCTGCTCCAGTCTGTCATTTCGGCCGTCGATCTCGTGTCGATGGTCTTTCGATCACTGAAATACGTTCTATCATCGTCGTTTCGACGCCTTCGTTCCTTTTTGGATTTCTTATGGCTGTCGTCCGAGTCGCTACTACTGCTACCGCTGCTGTCAGAATCCGAATCGTCCTTCTTTTTCTTTTTCTTCTTCTTCTTTTTCTTTTTGGATTTGGCATCCGAATCATCGCTATCATCGTCTGAATCGTCCTTTTTCTTTTTCTTCTTCTTTTTCTTCTTGCCTTTCTTTTTGGATTTGGCATCCGAATCATCGCTGTCGTCGTCCGAATCGTCCTTCTTCTTCTTCTTGTCTTTTTTCTTGTCCTTGTCCTTATCCTTGTCCTTGGGTTTCTTCTTTTTCTTCTTTGCCTTTTCTTCGTCATCATCGTCGTCGTCATCCCCAACCGCCGCCAACCGTCGCTTGCGGAGATACAAGCACACTACCAGAATGGCGACCAGAACGGCCCCCCCAGCACCGCCACCAATGATGATAACAGATGACCCCCCTCCGTCTCCGCCTTCCTCTGTTCCCTCGTCGAGGGTCCCCTCTAAGTCAAAAATTTCGCACCCACCGTATACGCACGAAGTGTTCGTAACTGAATACTTGGATAACCATCCGTTTCCGTTCGTTCCAWACATACATGCCGTATAGGCTTTCGATTCCACTAAACAGCAGCAGGACTACAAGTGTACAGATTTTTTGAGCGTTGTGTTGTGAAATGATTGTTAGTCGATTTTGCGATGCAGATTGTTGTATTTGTTTTGAATTATGAAATGGATAGGAGTAAATGATTCATCGGGCAACGAGAAGACACAAACAAAGAAAGTGAGCCAAAAGTACAGCAGGACAGCTTCCTTCGGAATTGCTATTGGTACACAGGTACTTTAGGTGTTACGTACCGCTTCTCCGTTTTCCAATGGGTAGTACTTTTTGCAGATGCGCCAGCTGGCCTCGACACAGAACTCATCGTCGCCTGGATTTGCAAAGGCGAGGACGGAACGAAAGAAGTCCTCGGCCTGTTTTGGGTAGGTGTCCATGAAAGCACCTGGATCGAAGCAGCTTGTGCAGGCGGCATCGCTTGTCACACAGGTGTTCATGGCATCCAGTTCTGCCGAGCAGCTCATTTTGGTGAGTTTGCGGTTGGAGTTCCGCCGCTCTTGTTGTTGCGTTCGATTTTCGGATTGTTTTGAATGTGTATATTCTAGTGCTAGAGAGTTGCTACGAACTGTGTCGTATTATTGGTGCTCGTTGTTGTGTACGGAATCTGTCCGTAGTGAGAAGTAAGCTCTTTCACTGTAATAGTACTGACTAGTAGTATATGGGACTGATCGGTAAGTATGTGTTGCAGCTGCTGCTGCTGCTGCTGCGGTTGTTGTTGTTGTTGTTGTTGTTTGATGGAAGACGCTACTGTTGGTGCGCAGTCGTTCTCCTTGGCAGGGAAGAAGAACGACGATGGATCTTGCAAACGAACTCCTTGGGTCTTTGCTCTCGTTTCGTGGGCACCGTCAAGTGTCCAAAATCAGCGCTCTCCAGTACGAATTCAGACTAGGGGCGGAAAAGCAGCAGTTTGCTGTTCGTTTTGGGCTTCGGGACCGGTGAACGAATCGCGTGCAAGAAGTGTTTGCAGTCGGGGCTGCTCGGGCAGGGATCAGTGCGGTACCTGTTACGATACCGGTACAGTGCGCCACGGTTCCACAAGGCAGCAACGAGGACACCAATGAATCTGTTCGAAGTTCCACAACAGCCTCACGGTACCAGTGCAGTAAGATTGTTAACAGATTTTTTAAGTTGTTTTGGGCCACGATTGTCAAGGTGTTTTGGTTCCCCATCGTATTTATGATATATCAAAACGCTTAACATTCTTAGCCAAAAATTGACAGTCGAATCATAATGACCGTGTAACCTTAAGTATCGAAAGCGTAGTATGACCACAATTTCGGAACRAAAAACAAAATAATAGCCTCTTTGTGTGATTCGGTCTATTCCGCATGGTGGCGTTCAATCTTCAATCGATAAAAGAACGAGAACGGGACCGCCATCATCATAGTACGTACTGATACATTTTGTAGGTATGTTCCGTGGTGTGCTGAATACACTGAATGAATCACGGATTTACAACACACAGACGACGGTTGTACGATATTTTACACTCTATCAAATATTACACGGTATATTACTGTATTTTACTTCTACTGTTGGAAGTACGTACGCTACCGTAGAGTAGTACTGTACGGTATGTATGATTGACGGAGGTCATGATTGGACCAAAACAAAGCACGTGACAATAGTTCTTTGCGCGCGTTCAGAATTTCGATGCGCCACTCCCTCAACTGATTGGTGGAAATGACGTCATGAGAACGAAATCGTTGGAAATCGTCGAACTCATCGTCGCTCACATACATGATGCCGCACCACTGCCAGTCAACAACGCCTTTTTCCGTGGACAAATCTTTTCGTGGATTTAGAAAATCTTTGGGGTAGGCTACAGTATTCTTTCTTACTTCCAAGCATAGCAGCACCTCATCATTTTGAAACTTTTGTCACCGGTAATAACTTGTTCGAAACCACAAGCAACATAGAACAGAAAAGGGTGACTCGGAATTTTGCACTCAAATTCACCGTTCTCGAAAGCGTTMTTATACAGAAAAGCAATAAACAACAATGAGCCTCCTGCAATCTTCTCTCAGACGATCGGCGTCTGCCGCGGCAAAAGCCACGACGGCCCGCCGATCCATGGCGGCGGCCGCTGCTTCCTCGGACGAACCCCTTCGCAAGACGTCCCTTCATCAATGGCACCTGGATCTAGGGGGTGACATGGTTCCCTTTGCGGGATACGAATTGCCTGTCCTCTACAAGGGGGACAAGGCCCCAAACGGCGGGGTCATGAAGGAACACCTTTGGTGTCGATCGGAGGGAAAGGCCTCGCTCTTTGATGTTTCGCACATGGGACAGGTGCGTGCGAKCATTTCCATCTGTCTGGGAGAACGAGGGCGCTGTGATTGTGTGTGTGACAACTGGGACGAAATTAGTTTACCATGAAACAGGATGACTCGTATGTCGATGTGTTTTATAATTTCTTCTGAACGATGACCAAGAAAACTGGCGAGGAATGGTTGGCACCACCACACCACACTATTTGATCGACGAGTTAAGGAAAGAGAAATCTTAATCACCTTACTTTTCTGATTCCATTGATTATTCTTTGCACTCTCGTTTCTTTTTCTTGAACGCAACTTTTTCATTGCTGTTGATGTGATACAAATACAACCATCAAATGTCCGAATCAAATTAATTGTGTCTGCTATCGATTAATCCTATTAAATTTCGATCTTGCTCGATTCGATTCGATTCTTTTCCGTTTCATCAGATTCGTTGGCACGGAGCTGACAGGGCCAAATTTATCGAAAAGGTTGTCGTCGGTGACATCCAGGGTTTGGAGGACGGCCACGGACTCTTGAGTCTGATCACGAACGCACAGGGGGGAATCATGGACGACACGGTGATCACAAATGCAGGTGATTTTGTGTACATGGTCGTCAACGGTGCCACTAAGTTCAAAGACATGGCCCACTTTCAGGAACAACTCGATGCGTTCGAGGGAGACGTAACGATGGAATACCTCGAGGACACGATGCAGCTTTTGGCCCTCCAAGGACCAGGGGCTKCCGAAGCCATTGCCAAGATCCTTCCTGCCGGCTTCGATTTGACGTCCATGGCGTTCATGACGGGGACAGATGTTACCCTCGATGGGGGCATCGAGGGTTGCCGCATCACTCGCTGCGGTTACACGGGCGAAGACGGCTTCGAGATTGCCGTACCGGCCGAGCACTGCGAGGCAATCGCCTCAAAGCTGATCGAGGACCCAACCGTCAATCCAACCGGCCTGGGAGCCCGGGATTCCCTCCGATTGGAGGCCGGCTTGTGCTTGTACGGAAATGATCTCGACGAGACCACCAATCCCGTAGAGGGGACTCTGGCCTGGACCCTCGGCCGACCCGGTAGCCGAAGGCGGACCGAACAGGGTTTTTGTGGTGCTGAAACGTTCCTGACGCCCGAGGGCAAGCTCCGGAAGCAGTCTCGCAAGCGGGTCGGGATCATGGGCATGAAAGCCCCCGCCCGGCAGGGGACGGAAATTTATGATTCGGAAGACAATCTGGTCGGTACCGTCACGAGTGGGACATACAGTCCTTGCCTCAAAAAACCCATTGCTAYGGGGTATGTCGACTCGGGGTTGGCGAAGGCCGGAACCACCCTCCAGCTCAAGATTCGCAACAAGATGCAGGCCGCCGAGGTGACCAAGATGCCGTTTGTCGAATCGCGATACTATCGCGTTCCGGAGTAATATTGGGAACCAATCGTGACGGTTGTGGCCTGATGAAAAAGAATCACACCAAACAAGGCAAGTCAGAACGAAACAGACAAATATTAGTGTCTGCYTCAAGTTTACTGGCAGAGACCAACAAGCGCACAACGAAACTTGCACTCATTGCATGACGGAGCCACTTAACTGAAGTGGATTCTTCTACTAAATAAAAGTAGTAATACAGTCATTGGAAGTGAATGGAACGTGATCCAATAATTAAGATACTGTTATTTGGTATTTTCAGACAGCACTGTTCATTCTTTTCTCGTTCAATTGCTCTGCCGACAAATTGCTGTTCCTTCATTTGAGCCTACGATATCAATCAATCTGAAATTGGCAATAGCCGGGACAGCATTGTGCAATCCATCCAATCAAAGCACGACAGATCAAGAATCATAACATGTTTCATATGTTGAATCTGTGCGGTGAAAATTCGTTTGTGTGGAAGGGTAGGATAAAGTATCAAAAGCAATTTCTTTTCCATCATCATTTTTCTTTTCGAAATGGTACTGTAATTTCTCTCACCACAACGAATGTCACCTGCCTCAACCCTAGTGAAATCGTGGTTTCTCGCGGTTACTGATCTGCTTACCCTAGTTGTTTTCCAAAATAAGAACAAATGCACAGGTACTCCTAATCTCCTTCAATAACATGCTTTAGGTTTGTACGATAGTTCAACAAATTAATGGAAAAAGAAATAACATCACATATTCTCTTTGCTCTCGATGAAAACGAAATGCAGGGGAGTGAAGATGAAAGGAAAAAGATGGGTCTCTTCCGACTTCATTGCATCGCGAAGCTCGAAGTCCGGTATGGATGAGACTCAATCACAAAGATACAGTCCAACCATATGTCTACGTCTTTTGAAAGATGAATAAAGACAAATAATCCCWAAGAGTAATTTTTCTAAGTGAGTTGACAGATTCTAATTTTGTCGTTAGTGTGGTTCAAAAACTTGTGTAAAAAATTTGGCATTACGAACTCAATGCCGTTCAAAATTGTGTAATGTCGTGTGATGCGGTGCATTCCAATACACCACACGGTTTGTTGGTCGATCGAAAAGATCACGTCTTGAGTCTCGACCGGTCATCCTGCCGCTAGCTGGTCAGGTTGGGAATCATAATATAATAGCAAAGACATAGCCGTGCCTGGCAAAAAGAGCAACGGGAGTATCTCATAGATCCCAGTCATCTAGAAAGTTGTCGTAGCCTTCATCGTCTTCGATGAGCACACCTGAGTTCAATTCCTCGCTTGCATTGTTGCTGTTGTCGTTTGCTCCTACCAGACAATTGAGGGAGACGGAGGTGGCACTTTTCTTCATGCTTTGCATGGAGTGCCAAAAGTCCGTGGTTAAAACAGTAGTCGTTGGACTATCGCACGAGGATCGGTTATCTTGTTCCAGATGCTGGCTACTGTTGTTAGGCGTTACATAAAAGTGCTGTTCTTGTTGTTGATTCTGTTCTGTTGACGTTTCTTCAAGAATAACATCAAGAGTCCTTGTGTATCGGAGGGATCGACGGTAGTCTTGTCTGATACCAGCACGATGAGAGCAAGCGGAATTACAGCTGCTCGATCCAACAATCATGGTGGAACTTTTGCTCCTTCGCGTTATTAAGCTTTGGCGAGGTAGTGACGATATTGTGCCGATTTCTGCGGACCTTGATGTCGTCAACGAATTGTGAGAGTCGAATGTAATAGGGTTTGATGGGAAGGCGTGCATAGTGGTGGATGACTGATTCTTAATAATAAGACTTCAGTATTGCTTATGCTTTTGTGATGGTCTGAAATACATGTAATACGTTGCAATAACAGTTGCAATAACAGTTCCTCTACCGATGATGCCGCAAATTTCCCAACTAATACGCGGTATTGAGTGACCTATTAAATTTGAATTCTGTGTTCAAGTGCGCTTGCAGCTTCATAAATTCTCAGTCAACATCGGGCAGCAACAGCAATATGCGGTACTTGTAGATATCCCCCCCAGATTATTTCCATTCTTGAAGTTGCATTTTCGATTGATCTCTGCCTTTCGTTTAAGGTAGGGTTCCCAAGGTCCGTCATTCAACTGCAAAGCTCTGGAGGTCAATAATGTTCCAACGCACAACTTCCGTAAGATTGTAGGGTACGGTTCGGATAGAATCAAATATATATTCTACCTACCCTTTAGCGAGCGTTGATTGGTTCCAGAGTCACAGATCAAAATCCTCTTCGATTAAAAACGGCAGTTTTCGATTGCGATTGGTCAAAAGCTGAAGTGGGTCAGATGCTTCAAGGAACGCGTGGCAAAGTCGTCGGCCCACGCGAGAGTTTCTAATCTATGCCCCACACGTCTGAACTATCGCTAAACACAGATTTGCTCAACGAGTCTTAAAAATGAGAATATCGTACGAACTTGTGGTACTACAGAACTCGTTCGATACCGGTACATCAACAAACTTAGTCGGAACGTATAGTACGGTACGTGTACAATAGCTACGTACCGTATGATTTTTCAATACGATGCGTCTACGCTACGAGAATTTCTAACACAATGCGCACGCGTCGGAAGCTATTTCTTCCTAGCGTCCGCCTGTCATCCTCTGCTACTCCTTCTTTCCAAGATTCTTCCACCTTGCCCCTTCAAATTCCACGACTACGTACGTACGCATGTATTTCTCCTTTCCACCGCTAAAAAAGCGGGGATCGTTTTTTKATTTTTACTGTAGACATCTGTCTACAGTTTCGTACGTACCGGTACATTAGGATGTTTGTACCGTACAGACTACAGACCCCTGACGTTCGGTTCTTTGTGTCCGAACTGATGTCAAGTAAAACAATCCTTCCATAATATGTACGCTAATCGTAGTACGCTTCAAAGCTGGTATGAGCCATGAGTATTACATACCGGTAATACTATGGTACTATGATTGCTAATACGACGTCAAAATCTTCTATCCACGACTGAAGGAGTCGGGAATATCACGACTGAAATAATGTGCCTTAGCGTACGTACGGTACCGTACGATACAGTTATCAGAAGATAGTCTGCGTAAATAAGATACTGTACGGTACGTAGTGTACTTGGTACGGCAGGACATATTTCGAAGAAAAAATCACGACTCGGAAGGGAAAAAAATTTGGATTTGGTTCCCTCCTCACAAAATCAAATCTCGTCTCAAGGGACCAGCAACAACGAAAGCAGTTAACAGAACGTGTACAATCAAATTTTCAACTTCAATATCTGCAGGTATCAAATTAGGCCTTTCTCCTTTCTGCCAACCTCTTTTACACAAAGTTACAACAGACAAACAATAATGTCGAGCGATTTCATCCATTTTATTACATCCTCGGCCTTGTCGCTGACTATGGCCGGAAACACCGGCATTTCACCTTTCTTGACCCTATTGATTCTTGGATTGGTAGAGATAGTCAAGCCTGAACTACTGAATATGGGAAAAACAATTGAAATCATTTTAGCGAGCTGGTGGTCCATCGCTGTACTCGGAGTTTTGACTATCGTCGAGATGGTCGGAAAGTGTATTCCAGCCGTCGATGAAATAATTGATTCAGTAGAAGTCTTCATTGTACCGGTCATTAGCATTCTAGCATCTATGGCAACGATGGGTTTGCTTCCCGATGCTGGAACCCCACAATCTGATGCAGGACTAGGGCAAGACATCAATGTCATTAGCATACTTGATACAGAATATTCTGGTGATGGATATCGCAACCTTCAAGACCAAGTGGGAAAAGCCAACCTAGCTGGTATCGAGGATATTCCTTCCAACGAACTCGGAGAAGGCTTCCTAACCTTTATGAAGTGTTCTTTGGTAGCATTTGGTATGCTCCTAGCGTTGCTGATCCACTTCTTCAAAATGTTGATCCGGCTATCTTCTATGGTTTGCACTGCAGGGTGTTGCCAACCTTGCATCACTGTCGTAGAGTTTCTTATAGTTATTTCGGGGGTTATCCTTGCGATTCTTATACCGACCTTTGCTGTGATGGCGTGCATAGCATTCTTGGTTGCAGCAGGGTACGTTGTTGTTGTCAAATGTTGCAAAACGAAAGACGGCAAAAACCACACAACTACCAGTGGTGTCGAAGTAGAAGTGGTGGGCAACAATCCTGAAATAAACGACATTGAATGTCAACCAAGCGCCTGCAGGACATCAAATGCTACGATTCCAACGCATGTGGTACTCTATCCGGCAGAAACCAAGGTCGAATTCGTCAGACCCGTCAGTCCCACTACTCCGACGATAACTCCAAAAGAAATGATTCGGAATTCTAGTATAGGCGAACTCGTTGTCGTACCTCTTTCGCCAATTCAAGCGAAAAAGGATTTCCAGGCGACAACTTATTAAGATCTCTCTCCATAATCTCAATCCAAGTTCAAAACATCTAATAAAAWGCTAGTAAAATTAAGCATACTCTTCAGCAAACAAATCAATCATACTAAAAATAGAGATCTGCGTAGAATGTACACAATGATAGTATTTTCAATCGTAAAAAGTATTGAAATTAAAGGATTGAAATAAATGTATGTATTGGAAAGGATGAAATCGAGAGCTTCCAGTATCAATCGATTTTCAAATTGTGAAGTAAATTACACTGAATGAAGATTCCATAACAAATCGAACTTTTTTGTTCGCTGGAATAGTTACAACCGCCGAGGATGGTCTGGCACAAAGACCCTGCTCACAAAGTGGATCACCATTGCCGCCCACATTCCCACCCACATTCCCACCCACATATCCAGCATTGTACTCTCCCATTGGCCCTCCCGATGTAGGCCCATAGMTGTACCTGTTTATCTCGTCATCTCGAACAAGTGTGCCATGTTTCAGGTTGCCGTCAGCAGTATACAACAACGAGTCACTACTGTCCGAGGATGCTTGGAAAGATGATCCACGGTCGTTATCTTCGTCATCTCAATATTGCTTTTGAATTTCATCCAAACAATCAAGTTGCTGAACGGAATCTCGTTTGGAGTGTGGGAGTCGATTCACTGCAGAAAACAAATATTGACACCAGTACTAGCAAAAGCGTAAATGCAAAYTTGAAGCAACACATGTGTTTTTGATGACAAGTGAAAATGGTTTTCATGACTAACAAGTAGTGATAAAGCTTATATAATGAMGCACTTGATCGATACATGAAGATGTCGATAATGTTGGAATGTAAGAAGGTGTTACTGAGGGTGCATMCAGAAACGAWTCATAGTCGAYTTGCATTCCCATGCATTTCCCCACCTCCACGAAAGCTTTATCCAATAGACCCGATAGCAACGCTTATCCAACAACAAAGCAAGCCGAAGCARCACCATGKWGTGCAGTGCATATTCTGTTCGCAATGCAACAAATCAATCTATCACCATCGTCCCTTTGTCATCAATTTACGAGTCATATACCATCCGGCACCACTCAGGCCGAACCAAGTAGCGGCATATCCCATATGCACGGCGGGAGTTGTCTTAAAGTTGCCCACGGAAGACACGGGTGGTTGGAGAGGATATACTAGCAGTTGCTGCGTATTGCTGCTGTCACTGTTGCTGGTTGCATCGYCTTCGGTGTCGTCCACCACCTGCGTGACCAGAGCCGTTTCGGTTTGTTGTTGTTCTTTCTCGGTCATCATGTCAGCGGCAATCGCCTTGAGGGCCAAGCCATCGATCCAAAAAAGTTGCAGGGGGCGTTTCGAGTAATCGTGTTCTGGCGTAATAAAGCGCGGTTCTTTTTTTTAACCAGTGCAATACAAAAAAACACACACACGAGAGAGAAGGGAATGCACGGCGAGAGTCAGTTGTGCAAAAATAAAATATCACGAATGACTGCCCGCTCGATTTCCGATTATCAATATTGTGTTCATCGATAGYGACGGCAACGAGMAGAAGACATTTTCCGACGAGGCCGTGTGCTCTGTATCGTTTCGATTTGATTCGTTGCCGATTCGTCTCAAGCATCTTGTTCCTGTGACAACTCACTCTCGGGTTTGGACAGAACCACCGTCACTTCCACTGGTCCTTCCGGTCGATTCCAGGCCGGTTCCCGCTTGAATCGGAGAAGTTCTTCGTCTAGCCGCGCCCTCTGCAGGGGATCGTTCTTGTAGTGCGGCCGATCGGCTCCCGGAACCACCGTCTTGGGAACCCACCCGCGGTTGATCCAGACGACGCTCGTGGCATCGGAAGTCGTCCTCGCATCCCCGTGGTCGACCTCCATGGGTGTGAAGACGTAGAATCCCTGAGGACCCGGCTGCATCCCCGAGACCGTGGTGGTTTTGGCGTTCGAACGGCTCTGCTGCTGCTTGGCGCTGAGGCCCTGCACGGGCATCTGTACCCCCGGGGGTGCCCCCCGTGGACCGATCAGGACCTCCTTGTCGTGCCGCAGTCTTCCGCGCAGGAGCCGGCGGCGATAGGGATGCTGGTCGTCTTTGCGATCGGGGTGGTAGGTGCTAAGATTCCCGTGGACCAGGGTGTTTTCGATGCCGCGATTGCCGTACCGGATGGGACTCATGCCCAGCTGCTGCTGGCGATCATCGATGGCGTCCCATTTTTCCAACAGACGCTGCAGCTGCCAGCATCCCAGCCCGAAGGTTCCGACGCACAGGCTTCCAAAGAAGACCTTGCCCGACGTCCCGAGCTTTTTGGCCGTGTTGGACGATGCCGATTTCGCTGCGTTTGCCGCCATTGGTATTGCGATTGTTGTCGTTTCTGTGGGGAGGAAAAGATCGCAGACGAATGGATGGTGTCCAATAATACAGTGCTAGATAACTAATACGATTGATTAGGTGAGTGGGTGGTTGGGCGCCGGTCTCTGGCTGCAAGCTTGGTGCGTTCTCTGTCACTAGCAATCTGTCTGTTGTTTTCGCTAGGAATGGAACCGTGAGAGCAGCTCTGTCATCATCATCATCATCATCATCTAATACTGAACTGGAAACGATTCATGACTACTGTAATCTACTACGAGTAGTACTCGTACTATCCTTAGAAGTACTTTTTAGCAGTATTTTCCATGTTTTACTCTCGTTCAGGTTCTGTACTACGTACGACTACGTAGTACCAGAACGTACCTTCGATAATATTTTAGTTCGCTTCCTGTGAGTCAGTCAGTCGTTCCAAGACTGGATCGGATATAGTAGCAAGCTTTAGGTTCGGGTTAATGAACGGTACCTACCGCCCCGCAAACACCCAGTTGGGATTGGGATCGGTTCTCTGAAAGTTTCTCAAATGGAAATCTTTTTTTACGGGCAAGAACCGACACGACTTGAGACGAAACCACAGGAAGAAGACAAACACCGCCGTCCCTCTGCGAGACAAACCAGTGATTTGAATATTCAACACAACTAAGGATGACAAATTCGAGCATTGAGCTTTCCAAGCGGACTCCGGTTGCCAGCGGCAGCGGCAGCGTCGTTGCCGATTGGTTCGACGAAGAGAAAGCCGCTATCCCACTCGAAGAGGCTGCTCGCGAGAACGCCGAGGATAGCCACCAGGGGAGCGAAACTTATGACAGAGTCGACCCCAGCGGTGGCGGTGGCGATTTCGATGGTGATGACGGTGGTGMTTCATGTTATTCATACAGCGATCACAGCGAAGGAATCGCACTGCTCCGAACGTCCCTCGAAACAGAACTAGTGGATGCCGACGATACTGGCACTTCCGTCTCGCATCCTCTYGTTTGCTCGCAGATAGCGTCGCACCTTTGCAAAGCCTGGACCACACACTGGCTGGGGCCCGACACAGAGTGGACGCTCAGGGGCCACCCGACGACCGTCCTTCTCGATGCGGCCGGGACCAAGCTGGTAAAGTTCGGCTTCGTTACGGGGGGTTGTTTGGTGGCAGTTCATACCTATGCAAGGCTCGTCGGAGACAAGCACGATCCGACCTACGGCCTCCACGAACTCWTGGTCTACGACGGAACGAGCATCGCCACGGATTGCATCGTCTTTTTCGTCGTCGGAAGGATGCACTCGGAAAGCGCCGCGGCGGTCGACACGCTGGAATTCGTTGTTCCCGTCCTGGGGGCGGCCTTGTTGCAGTCGTGGGGGGCAACGCACCTCACCAACCTCCAGCACTCGATCACGCCGAAGGAACTCAGGTGCGACTGGACCTGGCCGATGTATTTGCTGGTGGTCGGGGGCTGCCTGCCGCTCCTGGCCGGGCTCGTCTGGGCCCACGCACGTGAGGCCCACGCCAAGAATTGCGGGCTCCGCAGGTTCGTCGAGTTTGCGGGGTGCATCCTCGTCTTCTGGGTGCTTCCCTACGGGCTGCTAGCGGGATCGACCATTCGGTCCTTCTTCCACCTGCACCACTGGTACTACGCGTGGCTGTTTGGGATGCACTGCAGCGCCTCCGACCGCTGGTGGTCCCGGCTGGCGAGGAACGTTTTCTGGGGGATCTACGTGAACGGGGTAGCGATCTTTGGGCGGGACCCCGTTCTAGGCTGCGCCCTGGCGCTGTACCGGGTGCAGAGCCAACCGGCCTGCAGCGCTCCCTTTGCGGCGGAAGGCCGCGGGTACGGGAACTACACGCTGGCGGATCTGGGGAGCGACCTCGGGATGGTGGCGGCCGCTGCTGCCGGGGGCGACGCGGGCAGCCCCCCCGACATTTGTGAGTCGGATGTGACGCGGTGGCGTTGGCGCTTCTGATCGTGGTCGCTTTTCTCGGGATGCTGCGCCGCGGGTGTTTTGTGACCCGGTGGGATGGAACGGGGCGCGACGCGACGGGGTCCAATGCCGTGCGATTGGATGCCACGAAAACGAAGGAAGAGGTCAGGGAGAAACCAAACCAAACCAAAATCCATCGCGAGTTCTATAGCAGGACGCGCCACAGGGTGCTTTCGTTTTGTGGGATACGATCCAAACAAGATGGCACTCGAGCAGGACAGGGATCCTTTTGTTTGAGGATGAGAAGCGTAGATGGTCTTTCGAATGCTTCCGTTGGTCTTACCGAACGGTTGGTTCTCGCTTGGAGTATGAGAAACGCCACCATCGTCATCTCATCTCACCAGATTACCGTGTACGTGCCGGATTTTAGTCAATGGATCCTAGTGTTTTTTACGCTGCAATTCGTTGTTTTGCGGTCAATATTCTTCATTTTCACTGGTGACGATACCGATGCTTCTATCGGTATGCCTCTGGTTTAGAGCATCATCACAACGACTAAACTACAATGTCAAACAATCTTCATGCGAGTGGGTATTGGTTATCTCGAAACGAGTCGTCGATGTTGATAGAACCGTTTCCGTTGGTTCAAAAACGAATGGATGCGATGCGTGCTGAAGAATTGTTCCGAACCATAGTATGGGTAATTTTTATTCTAGTACGCGTCTATCGTGTGTGGTGTTGGCTGTCCCCTCGTTCCCCGTCAAAACCGAAAGCTTCCGTGCTCGACGTCGACCAGAAAGAGACCCTGCGGGGGAGCCGTGGCGTACCTCCGGGGCTCGCGCGGGGAGGTTCTTCCGCCCGCCCCCGTCCGCAGCATCTCCCGGACGTCACCGGGGCCGAGGCGCCCCCCCGGCTTGCCGACCTCCACCAGGCACCCCACCATGTTGCGGACCTGTCGGTACAGAAAGCTGTTGGCAACAAAGGAAATCGTCACGAGCCGTGGGGCAGTGGAGGGATCGTCCGGCACCCCAAACCCCAACCCGTGGAGAGAAACGTCCACGGAGGCCATCGAGACGATCGGGGAGCTGCGCTGGCAGAGGCGGCCCCGAAAGGCCGAAAAGTCGTGGGTTCCCTCCAGGTGCCCGGCGGCTTCTTGCATGGCGATAAGATCCAGGCCATTGTGGCCGAGGCACCAGGCCCGGTCCCACTCAAAGGGGATCCCAAAGAACGACGGGGACAGCGGCTGACCCTGCGATCTCGGTACCGCTTTTTCGCTTTCGTCGTCGTCGTCGTCGTCCTTCTCCTCCTCCCCATCACTGGGTTTGCCGTGGTTCTGGTTCGGTGCGATTCCCGGGAGAAGCAGCCGATAGACGTAGGTGCGCTGGGTAGCACTAAACCGCGCGTTCCAATCGACGCGGTGGGGCTGGCCCCTCGCGATGCCTTCCTCGGTGTTGTCCATGAACTCCGGAGACAAGACGGCGCCGAGAATCCGCAGCTCGTGCATCCTGAAATTCGAGTGCTTGGACCTCGKGTCGGTTGGGAAATTGCTGCGGTCGGTCGTTCCTTGCTCTTTGTGCTGCCTTTGTTCCTTTTGGTGCTGCCGCGAGAGATAGAAATTGAGTCCGTCGCGGAGTTTTCGCTCCGTCGATCTCGTGTTCGATTTGCGATCCGCGTCCGGCGTTGGCACCCTCACGTCGACGTGCAGCGTGTTCTTTAGGGCGTGGACCCCTCGGTCCGTCCGGCTCGAAACCTGGAGGTTGTCCCAGTCGCTGCTCCCGAAAAGATCGTCGAGGGCCTCTCTCAGCCTTCCCTCGACCGATCGGTGCCCCCGCAGGTCCACCTCGATCGTTTGGTTCTTTCGACGTTTGCGACTGCGGTTGGTCTTGACCACGACGCAATCCTCGGCGTCCGGGCCCTGGTAGGAAACCCCCAGGAAGGACCCCCCGTGGTACTGGAAGGACAGGGCGTAGCGGACGAATCCCTCGGCTCGGCGGACGGCGCCCCTCGTTGTTTCCTCCGAGGAAAGGAACCGAGGGGATGCGACCCACGAGGGGAGGATCCTTCCATAGCTGTACCGGAGGGGTGGATTGCCTTTGCYGGTGTCAACGCATTGGCGCGAGTGGCGAAGAGCTCGTTCCCCCCATCTGCAGAGGAGCATYCCGCGCATTTCTTGTGGGCGCCCAGCGCTGGGTAGGCGTGATGGGATTGTTCGTTCCTTTCGTCGATCTTCTTTCTAGTGCCACATCACGACACATCCCATCGATGCCGTGACAGGAATATCATTGAATTCCGCTCGGTACGTATCTATTGAATATTCTATTGGATATCCGAGGCGATGGCATTTTTTGTTTCTTGCTACACGTAGCTCGTGGAAGGGTGCCGAGATGTCATGCTTTGTGAATGTGCCGGTACTGCGGCACTGTTTTCCTGCAATCAAATCGAGTCAAAACGAAAAAATCTTGTGGTTCAAATTCCAAACCCCAAATCCAAATTTCCGAGCCCGTCATCTGTTTGGAAGTTCGAACCACGAGCGAGCCGAGCCTCGTTCCCCGCGTGACGCATTCTTTGTTTGGAGAAGACGAGGAAGTTCTTCCCGTGGATTCTGGGTCCGATGGGTCGATTGGTGAGGAATTGATTTGATTGGTTRCCTTGCATCACGYGATGACGTCCCYTAAAGCCACGCCGCTTTTGATTGGAGAAAGAACCACCKTTCCTTGACGTGTCTCCAAGAAACTCGTGCGCACGAGGTTGTTCCGACCGGGGTCTGGTTTTAGGAGTTCGGACCTGCCGCCGCAGAATTTGTTGGGGTTCCGGTTTGTGTCACCACTATGGGGATCCTTGGGGAGGAATTTCGGAATCCTCGATCCGGTGATTTGTATTAGCTTTTGTAAGCATTTGATGGGGGTATGTTTAGGAAGAGATTCCCTATTCGAACCGATACGTCAGAGGCCCCCGATCCTTCTGTTTCCAAGAATTCGACAGACACCGATGTTCCTTCTTGTGTGTCCACTCAGCAGGCGGGGGGAACGAACAAACAACAATCCATTCTTATCTGTGCCACCAGCGTGGTTCGTAGGGTTTACTACTAAAGTACATACTTCATCCTATGCAACTGCAAGGAACCAAAGCAACAATTGGAAAACGAGCGACACCTCACATCTTTCACCCGTTACTTTGCCACAGAAAAATACGTGAACAGAATAGAACAAAAGCGAGTAACTATTCCTYTCACAATTCATCCAGGCATCTACCTCCAAGACTGCCTGTAACACGATCGATACACAAACACATCCACGACACAACACAACACAACACGATCCGAAATGGCGATACAATCTGTTGCTTCCAGCCTATTCTTTTCCGCCCTTCTCCTCGCCGATGCGAACGCCTTTGGCGTGCGGCACATCACGGAACGTCCCGCGACGTCTCTGAACCTTCTCCCGGACCAGGGCAGCCAGCTCGTAGCCGCCTACAACGCACTCAGCGAGTCGCAGCGCACCGAGATGGCCCGCGCACCGATTTCGGTCGAGAAGGAGGTCGAGGCCCGTGCCGTTCCGGGGAGCACCGAAGAAAGCGAAAAGCCACATCGAACCTGGGGGGCCGGCACGATATCGGCGTCCAAGAGTCTGCTTTCCCGCATCTTCCAGGGGCCCTCGGTCAAGCACCCCCTCGAGCACAAGGACGTCTGCTACTACCCGATGGTGGGCTTTCGGTTCATCAAAGGCGTGAACGCGGCCCTGCCTACCAAGTCGACGGCCTCTTGCGCCATGCCCACGAAAAGCCAGAAGGAGGAGGAGGTGTACGGGTGGTACAGCTCCTCCTGTAAACTCGATCTCTTCTCGGAAGATGTCTGCCACAATCCAATCAACTAAAGCACGGATGCTACGCACAACCGCCTCGTCCGCGGTGTGCACAGGGCAACSGCAACCGAACGACCAGGCCAACCATGAAACGCAAGAGGCCGGAGCGGGGCGCAAGCAACAAGAACCGCAATTGCCATGTACAAATTTWATGAGCGTCCCACCGAGGATCAAGTGGCAACAAGAAGTAAGACGCACCACATGCTTAAAACATCTGATACAACTACAAGCATGAGCGAACGAGGAGAACTTGTATGGATCTGTTCATCGACTTGACCGAAAATATCGAAGAATCAGAGATCGTGAAACGAAAACGGAATGCAAACCAACATGTTACAAAAGACGCACATCACGACGTCCACTCCTCAATTTTGAATGTATACTCTCCCCATGTACCATACCACAATCCAATACGATGTGCATCATGCCATTCGAACACACCCACACACGAGTAAAGACCCAATGTATGATGTAATACTAATAAAACCTCCAAACGATTATATTGTTTAATGTTACCCGCGTTACGTATTGACCGCGTCCTAGTAGCCGGCCATCACAATGTACAGATTACTCGATTTACGAAAATGCATGGGATTCGTTCAACCGACTGGAAAACATGCTGATCGGCAAAGTGAGATAGGGAAAACGTGGGGACAGGAAAAAACGTTGAACTCTAGTTTGTAATTTGGCTACCAATTTTCGGGGGGTTCTTTGTGGACCGGTGCGGCGATGGAGAGGTCTGGCGTTCGATCGTCGCCCACGAAGCAACAATTTCTTCTGGCCTTATAGGCGGCCGATGATAGTTGTTGTCGCAGCAGCTTCTGCCGCCATGCCAAATCTAACCTGCAAATGTCGTGTCGTATTACATGCATCATATGCAAACCAATCACACGTCACCGTTCCATGGTTTTTGAAAGCGATGCAATGCCGCCAATTGGGTATGAAAAGCCACGAAACCCAAACCAGGASAGAGCTCGCACAACAAATACTAGAAAGCCTAACGGTCCATTTAGTATCGCTTTACTGTGTGTMAGGATTCCRTTTAATCACATGGAATTYAATTCGGTTCAATTCAAGGCAATGCAATTGGGTGCAATTTGTTTCTTTCCACTCGTTCTGCTTCGAATCATTCCTGGGCTGCCATCCATGGTGCGAGGACGTCGAAAAAGTTTTGTTCCGGCGGTATTCGACGCTTAAGGCCAAAGCCCTCTTCCACGAGCCTTCCCAGYCTCAGAAGCGTGGCCTCGCTCCAGGCATCCCCCATAAACTGAAAGCCGATTGGAAGGCCGGTGCCCTTCTCGTACCCTACCGGGATGGATAGCCCCGGAAGACCCAGAAAGTTGGCCGTCGAAGCGAACCTCATAATGTTGTAGGTCAGAGCGACGTTGGTTTCCCCCACCTCCCGGTAGCCGGGGGGGAGCTTCGGRACGGAAACCCCVATGGTAGGAGACAAGATCGCGTCCAGCTTCTTGGTCCCAAAGAGATGCTCTCGGTAATACCGAATGGCAAAGGTCCGGACGTTCTCCGCTGCCATGACCTCCCCGGCGGTCAGCGTCCTTCCGAGACCGATGCTGATTTGCGTGTTGGGCAGGAGCTTGTGGGAGGGGTCGTAATAGGGGGTTTCCCATCCCCTTCCGAACTCGGCGAGGATTTTGACGGCGTGCGACAGGTGGATCTGTCGTTGAAAAGGGACGGTGATGTCGACAATGGTTGCGCCAAGGTCGTCTTCCAGGTACCGAACGACTTTCCGGCAGGTTTCATAGACCTCTGGATCGGTGTGCTTGAAGTGGTCCCAGAAGACGCCGAGTCTGGTTCCCTCGAGCGGCTTGCTGGAACTTTCTGCTGTGGTTTCCGACACGTAGCCCCCCAGGTGCGGATCCGGCATGTATTTTTCTCCAAAGAGGTTGCTGTAAAAGACGTCGTGATCAAAGCTTCGCTGYCCCTTTCGTTTCGTGCTTCTTCTCTGCTTGCTGGCTTTGCTCGCGTCGGAACGCCCGTACACCTGCCCGAGCAGCATGTACGCCAGAGCCGCATCGGCCATCGTCGCCCCGATGGGGCCCGCCTTCACGTTGGAGCTCCCTCGGTTTTGTGTAAAGGGAACCCGGCCAAAGGTGGGGGCCAGCCCCACCATCCCGGACATGGCCGCCGGTATCCGGATGGATCCCCCGCCGTCCCACCCGATTGCCATGGGGACGAGTCCCGCGGCAACGGCAACGGCCGACCCGCTGCTGGAGCCCCCCGAGTAATAATCTGTATCGTATGCGTTGAAGGGTCCATTGAAGTGAGCATTGTAGCCCAGGGGCGTGGTCCCGGCCTCGTTCATCACTGTCAGCCCGACAACAATGGCGCCAGCTTGCTTTAGGTACTCCGAGGGAATGTCGTCTTCTTCTTTTTCGGGGTCGGTACAGACGCTGCTTCCCTCGCACATCCGCAGGCCCTTCACGGAGGAGCAATCCTTGATGGCCACGGGGACACCGTCCCATATGGACAGCGGAGCTCCGGCCTTCCATCGCCTGTCGGATTCCCGGGCCTGCTCCAGAATCAGGTCGGGTTCCATCGCGGAAAAGATGTTGAGGTGTCCCAGGTGTTTTGTGGCGCCATTGATCCAGCGCTCCATGACTTGGGTGGGGGTGGCATTCCCAGAGGAATAGACCTTGTAGTAGTCGACGACCGTGCGAAATCCCCCGGAACCTTGTCCTTCTTTGGTATTTTGTTCCGTTCGTTGCTGGACAAACTTGGATTCGTACAGTTTCAGTCCGTTCTCGTCGCCATTGGGGCGACTGCTGTAGACGGCGTTCCACTCGGTCGAAGCCTCCATTTGTTCGTCGGACGCGTGGTGGAACGGGTGGTGGGTAACGGGAAGCGATCGGACGTAATCCTTGGTGGAGGAAAGCTTTCGGATCAATCCCACTCCGTTCTTGTTGATATTGCGCCGCAGCAGAAACGGCGACACGAGGGACCTCGTGACGAGCCAGGTTAGAATCTTCAAAAACGTCCCTGTCCCCGAGGGCGTGTTTTTGAGTTCGACCAGGTTGTAGGGAAACTCAAAGTCGATGTCGATGTCGATGTCGATGTCGTCGTCGTCGTCGTCCCCGTCGCCACCCAGGATAATGGACCTCAGAGCCCGATCGAATTCGGGCGATGCCTCTAGGTCGGAATATTCCGGAGGCGTTTCTTTCATGGATAGCAAGACTTGCACCAGAATTGACAGGGCCAACCCCAGGAACCCCCACCACCGAAGTGACGATGAGGCCTTGGTTCCCGCACCGGTAGTGACTGCTGTCGATGCATTCGTCATAGGTTTGCCTTTTAGTAATGTTTACCTAAGGCTTTTGCACGTTGTTGTAAGGATTCTAATGATGATTGCGTCGACAGTCGAAAGGGGTGACAGAGACTCAAAGTTTATGAGAAGTACTCAACTCGTTCAACTAAAATGGTTAGTAGAGCTACGAAGTACGATACACGGTACAGTACTGTGTACTAGAGTTTGGTGCACGATACGTACGTACTCTTCATACGGTACCGAAAGACTGTCTCTACGGCATCAGAAATCAGAAATGGACTCCGATGAAAATCTAACGGTTCCCTGTTCGATCGCATTGCAAGAAATGTGACTACGGTTCGTTCTCGTCCGAGATATCTCAACGTAMKGTATGTACAGGACTCTAGTATGATTCGTAAAATGACCTTCGCCTATGCGCGTTAGATTTTTGTGAATCTTTCACCTCAGTAGGGTTCTTACGGTACTGTACCTTACTGGGACGTAATCTCAGTCTGTAGTTTTATTCCAACAAGAAGCTTACAATCATAACTGAAGCACAAGAAAGACAACGTACAGTACTTTGTAGGAACAAAACAAAACATAACTCGACAGAAATAAATCATAACCATGACCGTGACCGCCGGACAAATCCTCACCGCAGAAACAGTCCCTGCGTATCTCAAAGACCAGTGGGAAGACCTGGGCATCGGCAAGGCTCTAGACTGCACGACCACCGCCGAAGAGGCACTAGAGGGAATCGTTGTGAACGCCATTCAGGGGGGAAACGTCAACTACGCCTTTTGCATCGAGCTTCCCGCGCTTGCCAAAAAGGTCTTTCTCAAGCAGGCTCCGGAATTTGTCGCCATTTTCGGACCGGACGGTTTCCCCCTGACCTCGGAGCGCATGCAGCGTGAAATGGATGTCTATTCGGAATGGAAGGGGCTCCTTGGGGACGACCTCGGCAAGAAATACCTGCCGGAAATTTATGCCTTTGACAGTGAGTTTTTGGTGAAAAAAAGAGTTTGAAGACGTATAGATGAATGGCTCGTAATTTGGCATCTCGCGGTAGGAATACAGGATGAGGATGTGTTAGTCTAGTTGACTTCAACGTCGAAATGGATTGTTCGGTCAGAACTAGCACACTCGGCGGCAATAGGGGACTGAACAGATTTTTGGTCATGCGATATCACTTTTTCTCGRAAAAYATGGCTGAAGGTTGCATGGATTYGACACGACAGGACGCGATAATTATTCACCCCTCTATTCCATCCATCACTCCGATCTCCAAATAGGGGRGCGACGATTCTGTTTCCTTTTTCTGATTTGCCATGTGTTCAGTGCAGTTCATTTCTTGGTTGTCGCTCACTGATCGYGTTGTTTGTTCGTTCACGTGTTTCTTCCTGGTRTTATGAAAAAACTCGACAACAACATCTTTTATTTTYATGCAACAACACCCAATGACAAAACGCGTATTCGACAAAATTGACCAAAATCGACACAACCACACCAGAAAAATCCATGGTGGTAGTTATGGAATTCTTTGACGGATAYGAACTTCTCGACCACGTCCTGGTCGACGAAAAGGGGGCCTCCGCCCTGGACCAAAAGGGCATCGGGGAGGCCCTCGGCGATTTCATGGGACGTGTCCACGCGGCCTCGTACTCGTCCAAGTACCTGGCCGCCGACGAGGGGCAGGCACGCGTCGACTATCTCAAGGAGCATTTTGAGAACCGCGAGATGCGGGACGTCCAACTAGAGTTCGTCTTTAGCAAGTGTTACAAGGAGGCGACGGACGAGCAACGGGCCGGATTGACGCTCTCGGACGAATTCTTGGCGGAGGTCGAACTCCTCAAGAAACAATACGACGGCAAGGCCGGGGACGACGCCTTGGTCTTGACCCACGGGGATCTGCACCCCGGTTCGGTCATGGTCGACCCCTCAAACACAAGTGTCAAGGTGATCGATCCCGAATTCACCGTGTACGGTCCGGCGGGTTTGGACGTCGGATCCCTCCTCAGCGGATACTGCCTGGGGGCGATCCACCAGGAATACTCTAGGAATCCCGCCGTCGTCGAGGACATTGTAGCGGGTGCCGAGGCCATCTGGGCTTCCTATAGCCAAGCCCTCGCCGATGGTGGGCTCACGAGCGAGCAGATTCGGGCGATCGAGGTCGAGACGGTCGGATTCACCGTCGCCGAGGTCTGCCGGACTGCCCTCGAATTCGCGGGTGGCCGAAAGTGGCTCCAGTTTCCCGACGACGAGGACACGAAAAAGAAGGCATGCAAGGCGGCACTTGGCTTGGTCCAGAAGTGCATGGTAGGCCGTCACGAAGGGGGGATGACCCTTTTGTTCACCGAAATGAAGCGCAAGCATTTCGATCAATAATAGCAACAATAATACAAAACCCAAACCCAAACCAAAAACAACAATAGAACAATACGCAGCACAGCACAGCACAAAACAAAACAAAGAACCCAACATGAAAGACACAAATGCAAAGGAACATAGGAAAAGAATCGATGTAGGTCATAACTTTGAAAGTCACTGCGTGAGATATTGCCATAGTGTCAAAACCTATATATGCCGTTGATCATGACTTAGTTCTTTCTCCTGTCACAAAATGTCGCATGCAGTTTCGAAATTGAACCGCGCAAAGATAATGTAGCTGTTCTTTGTATGCTGTTTCTGCTCCAACCGAATCCAAAGGCCGTACTAGATTAAGAAATCATTCAAGCAATATCATGTATGTATCATTCGTAGTGGAACTATTGCGAGCAAAATCCAAGTGCCAGCTATATCCTAGTTCTGRCAATGTTGTTTCGTTGAAACACAAAGTACTTCGATCCCGTGGGTCACAAACGAACAATATTCTAAATGCCTATGGGAACTATTGGAAGCTAGAGAAATATAATCTGTGCCACTTCGGCGCAATTTGTTTTTGATCTATTCATTTTATTAGTGAAGCAATCAATGTAAACTACTACCAATAGTAGATGTTGATAATCGCATCACACTTCATGTTCGATGCATTCGTTTCGGTCGCAGCCCTTTTTGGCGTTGCAGGGCTCCTTCGTCTTGATTGTTATATTGGTATTTGAAACGTCTCGGGGCTACCGACTGGAGTTTGTATTGTCACAGCTGCCGTTACAGAAACCATTTAGGAGATTTCCCAAGTACTGATCGATGTTACCGGCAGAAGAATTTTGGACGAAGACGGACGAGGAGTACATGGACGAAGAAGTTGACGAGTAGGCAGCGACTGCCTTCTGCGATGAACTCTTCCAACTTTTTATCGAATCTTTAGACGCCGTATAGCTGCCGCCACTGCAGCCGGCATTCGTGGCTATCGCTGTTCGCTTAGTTGCGTGCTTGATTATCCTCGGGATCATCGTCTTGGAGGAAGGGGAACCTGTTGCTGTCTGTAAGATTGTCATTGTTTCTTTTGATCGCCAAGAAGAACAGTTTTGTGCGGCTGTGGGAAGTTGTACTCATTCCATGGAATAATGCCGAGTTCTCATAGTGGTGTCAAATTGTTGGGACGATGTGTTTTACGTTGGCGTCAAATCTGCTCAAATTTAAATATGGGGACAAAAATTTACATAGTAGGGGTCGTGTATTTTCACAGGATCGCCAATTTGAAGTTTTAGTTGGTACGGGCGATGACCGGTAGAGAACACTATTCCTTGTGAATTCTGACACCAGTTGTGACACAAAAACATATTGCGTTCGATGCATATACGGCGAAAAATCACGTGGCGAGATCTGGCCTTCAGTGATCATAAAAAAACTGTTAAAAAGATGTCAGCAGAAATGGCAGAACTACTACACTTGTAATACTACTACCACTACTTTTAGTAGTGCAAGTACTAGTAGTGCTTCTACTAAATTAAGAATATTAGGTATTACCTGGTCGCACTTGTGGTGGTGCTGAACAAGAAGCAAGAGCACCAACAACAAGAAGAAGCAAGAAGAAGAAGAAGAAGAGCAACAATGCAACAAGAACAAGAACACCAAGAAAAGAAAGAACAAGAACAACAACAAGAATAAAACAGCAAGCATGATACTACTAGTACTAGTAGTAGTAGCAAGAACATTAGTACTAGTAGTAGTAGTAGTACTAGTACTAGTACTACCACCACCACCAGCACACACCATGAGCAGCACCAGCAGCAGCACCACCACTAACAACAGCATCCATGTCATTGGAATCTCAACTAGTAGATGAAGTTTTGCCAAAAGAAGTGATGCCAGCACCAACAGGATGGATCACTACTAGTACTAGTAGTACTGGTAGTGCTACTACTAGTAGGTGGGGCTCATGTTCTTGTTAGTTGGGTGTCTCTTCTACAGGTACAAGTTAGTACATACCAGTACGCAGGGGTCATAAATTTAGAGGGGTATGCAAGAACGCGTCGAAACTCATATTCCATGTGCGGTCCAAATTTCCAAAAAGTCCCCGAAGGATTTTTTTTCATTCTCATTTTTACTGCATAATACTAGTAAAACTATCCAACCTTTAAGCAGTTACAGCTTTATCAAAAATACTACTATTTTAATTTTTGAGTAGCCAGTCTAGTCTAGTTTTTAATGCTGATTCTGAATATACCATTTTCTCGCATAGTATTAAATTGATATTTGTAGTACTATTTTGCTATTACTAGAAAATGAACATAATTTCCATCATACTAGTAGTAGTAGTGGTACTACTACTACTAGCTAGTACTTCTACTAGTATGATCAGTTTCACCTTAGTACCAGTTGTAACAGTAGTAATAATAGTTGTAGTAACAGTATTAGCAACAGTAGACGGTAGTAGTAACTGTACCTTAGGGGACTTTTTGGAAATTTGGACTGCATGTGGAATATGAGTTTCACTTTTTTTTTGGTGCTTCATGATGCGCAAAAAAAATTCGATGCGCACCCCTCTATTATGACCCCTGCCGGTACGTACGTACCGTAGAATCATCAACGTTGGTCCAAATTTTGTCAGTTGTTCGATCGACAGACTGAAATAGCATTTTGATGACGCAGCATCTGACGTATTTGTCGTCAGAATTCACGCAAGAATTGTACCGCGCGTTACGACCTTTCGTAGTTTGACATCACGCACATCAGCTGCCCACGATCTATGTCACTGTTGTCCGCTGATCTACCCATACGAGTACGCGTAGCGTCGGACTTACAG